CAAAATAGTGATAATAATTTGTTAGATATTTTATGTGATCATGTCTAATTGTTCTTTTGGTAAGTAAAAATGCTTTATAAGTCTTATTTTTATCCAGAATTTTTTCTATTCTAAGCTATAATAAAAATAAGTGAACGAAAATATTAATTTTTAATTTTTCTAAGTTTTGATGGAGTGTAAAAAAAATATATCACGTAGTTTCACGCTGATTTTTTTTAAAATTGAAGCTCTTTACATTAATCTATTTAATGTTATTAAACTCAAATTAGTCAGAAGTGCGCAAGCCAAACAATATTTTTTTTGTTTACAGACATCAGGATGGGTATTAAACGAATGAAACTTTACCAATTTTTGTTAGACCAGAAACTTATTTCCCGAGCGACGACAGTCGACACCAGAAAAAAAATGGTTGAATTTGTTGTTAATAAAGTCCGTAATGTGCCCGAAAATGTTATTAAGAAGGACATTTCTTTATTTTCGGTGAATTTTTCACGCCGTTGGAAAACGAGTGGAAGAAAGTCGGAAAACTTTTTAAAGCAATATAACTACTGGCTACAGCATTATATCTGCAAGCCAACTATGGAAAATTCTGTTCAAACAGTAGGAAGACCTCTTAAAAATTTTTCTTTGGAAGCGATACAACGAAAAGAAGACATGTAAAAGCATTAGTTGCAAGCCATTCGCCCAAAAAATTATTATTTGCAGCACAGTCTAGTCTAATCAAAACCGGTAACAGAAATGCAGCCAGTGTTATAAAAAAGGCAATAACCTCTAGTCCTACCACCCTAAAGCATTTTAAAACGATGAGTAAAAGTAAAACCGATCTTCGACCATACTCTGTTGAAGAAGCACTTGCGCTTATAACAAATGCCAAACTAACTACTGCCCAGTATAAACAGATAAGAAAAGAAGCCAAAAAAAGAAAATGCAATATCTACCCATTGTATAATATAGTACTTGCTGCCAAAAAGAATTGTTATCCTAAAAATATAAATGAAACTTCTGCTCAGGTTCCTTTGCAAAATGCACTAGACCACTGTATTAATCGGTTATGTATTGCTCAGAAAGATGTTATCGATCACGTAGTATCAGAAGAAGATCAAGTAACTTTGGAAATGAGATACAAATGGGGCTTCGATGGATCCTCTAGCCATGCATTATATAAACAAAAATTTACAGAAAACCCAAATTCGACAAACACAGATTTACTTATAACGTCAATCGTACCCTTACAATTCAAAAAAGTTACAGACAATGCCGAAACTATAATATGGCAAAATCCGAGGCCATCGTCCACGCGTTTTTGTATGCCACTGCATCTCCAATTCATAAAGGAAAGTAAGGAATCTATAGAAAAAGAGAGTGCGTACATAACAAATCAAATTAACCAATTAATGCCAACATATCTGAATTTCAGTGGACGATGTTTAACCGTAAATCATGTTTTGATTCAAACAATGATAGATGGAAAAGTGGCAAATGTCTTAACTAAAAAGCTACCCCAAATGACATGAATGACATTAACAAAGTTATAGAAAGACAATGCAATATAGAAACCTATAAATATGGTCTCTCAACCCTTCATGTCCATATTCGAATGTTTGAGTGTTTATTGCATGTTTCATACAAATTAGTTGTAAAAAAATGGCGTATAACAGCAACTGAAAAAGAAGCCGTAGAAAGAAGAAAACGAGAAATAACAAATTCTTTTCGTCAACGTACAGGTATATTGGTAGATGTAGTGCGTCATGGAAGTGGGACGACAAATGATGGAAACGTTGCCAGGCGTTTTTTCAGTGAACCAGCACTATCAGCAAATATAACAAGAATTGATGAGACTCTAATACGCAGATTCTCCGTAGTTTTACAAGCCATCTCTTGTGGATACGATCTTAATCCTGAAGCATTTAGGAAGTATGCTCTGGATTCTGCCCGACTTTTCGTGAATTTATATCCCTGGTTTAAGATGCCATCAAGCGTCCACAAGATACTGATTCACGGTGCAGATGTCATAAATTCTTTGATTCTTCCAATAGGCCAGCTTAGCGAAGAGGCTTTAGAAACACGTCATAAAGAATCTCGATACTACCGCCAACACAATTCTCGAAAAATTGGCAGAAAACAAAACCTGGAAGATTTACTACATGCCCTATTAATTTCATCTGACATGCTGATTTCCAGTATAAGACCTTTGCCAAAAAGAAAATTGAGTACGCTTCCCGAAGAGGTTGTTAGCATGTTGAAAGTACCAAAAGATCCAGATTTTACTATCAAAAAAATTTCGTATCCACTACATCTTCAGATGATGATGATTCTTCTGATGATTTAGACGTAATAGATTAGTAATATTTATTAAGTATTGTCTATACTTGACTTCCTAATTTTTGTATATCTTGTTAAATGGAACTAATTTGCAATTTTATAACTTTCTATGTTTTTATCACACTTTCATTTTTGTAAAATTGTTCAATAAATGCTCAGCATCAATATAATTTGTAAACATTAGGTTAAAGTACAATACATAGCAATATTAAGTAAGTCGGTTTTTACATTCCTCTAAAAAGCAAACTATTTTAATCGTAGAAAATCATATTTTGTTACATTATGTGACCAATAATTGCAACCTCTTTTAAAAGAATCTGACTGTCAATTGACGTGACAACTTTTTTAACGAATATCATAAATATAATAGTAAAAATAAAAAAAGCCTAATGGGAAAAATGACAATAAAAACTTTTCCGGTTTACACTATAATTATATTAAGTAAAACTAAAAAAAAAGTAATTAATTCAAAAAAATTGTCGCACCTAGAGTATGAAAAGTGTAAGGTAAATTTTCCATAAAGTTAAATATTTTTTAAATTAATTATCTTTCTCTTAACTATAACGGTTTAAAAAATACACCCAGTATCTATATAAACTTAAACATTGAAATGTATATCTTAATATTAGTTTTTCTTTAAATCATGTATAAAGTATACTAAAAGAGCAGCATCTCCTGCAAATTTATGCATGCAAAACATTTTGATCGTCTAATATTGTCGTTTGGAACACTGTGCGGCGGTTGCCGACCCCCGAAGCGGTGATCCGGGTCCTTTTCAGGACCAACAAAAAACTTGAAAAAAAAACGGTTCTTTTTTAGAACCAACAAAAACTATGCGATGTCCGTTATTTACAACATGAGGCTGTGAGAGACTCCCACTCTCTCCCCTCCACTCCCCTCTCTTTCCTATCGCTATATATACGGAGACCAGCAGTAAGAAATTCAGTTTACTTCAGTTAGCTGAGTAAACTACATAATTTTCTTGTTTCATTTTTTTAAGTTCAACATGAATTCATTTGAAGAAACCGTCGCCGCAACGAACTCCATCCTCCCAACAGGAGAAACCGCCGCTGCTAACACTGACACTCTGCTTGACTGCATGCCGGACGATTTCGACATAGAGATGCTGTTGATGACTGCAATGGGAGCAATACCTAGCCCTGTGACACCGATGGAGATGTCTCAGACTATGGTCGAAATCGCTCCGGTACCGGCCCCGTTACCAGCCTCGTTACCAGCCCCGTTACCACCCCCAGAACCGGTGGTAATCTACGATAGCGAGGATGATTTCGAATCTGTAGGGCCGAAGATCCGGGTCCTCAGCAATGTCCGCATCCCTACACTGCCGACCTCAGTCACGGCGAAAAAACTACCGAAAGGTAAACTTGTCGGCACAATTGAAAATGCGCCCTGTAGGTCGAAGCCAACGAGGCCGCAAGTGGTTGTGCCGAAAAATAAAAAACCAAGGACCCCAAAGAAGAAGAAAACCGTGGCTGTGAAGAAGTTGAAGGCCGTAGCCTCAACAAGTGCGGCTGCGCCAATCCCGATACCGCCCAGAGATGAAGACGATGACAGCCTGATGAGGGATTTCAACTCCGCCAGCGCCACGCTTGAGAATATGCAGACGCGGTTGAAGGCTGACAGAGAGCAGTTGGACACGACCGAATCCACGCTAAAACAACTAAAGATGATGGTGAGCGGTATGGAAGTGGATATGGGAGTAACCATAGTACCACTTTAGCGCCAGTCTGATGCGTTGGCTGACGAAGGCTGCACTTGGCTGAGTTGAAAAGACAGACGGATGAGGCCCTTCACCACCAAGCTATTTTACATCAAAAGCAGAGGGATGTGGACGCGGAAATTGCTAAAGTGAGACAATCTCATCCGGATTATGAAAAAAAAAAGAAGGCCTGTGAGATTGTTGGGGCGCGCTTTAGTGAATTAAGCGAACAGTTGCGTGTTAGGAAGGCAAAATGCAAACATACGTTGAATAACTTTTTTTCGTTGGCGGATATATGAAGACATTTTTTTAATAGTCGCGGTTATGTGTGCCTGCCGGGGGGCCGGGTCCAGAGTGGATTTTTAGTCGGTCGTGCTATTCAGTCGGGAGCACAACCCGACACTACCTAGTCATTGGGCGGCTAGGTGTCTTTCAGAAGATTTTTACCACTCCCCAAAAAAATCGAAAAAAAAGCAAATACCTATACCGAGGTGATTTGAAAATGTAGCTTTAAATATATACTATTAGTTTGAATATTTTCCATGGGTGTGCGCTACGAAGACGGGCTATAAACAGTTATTAGAGGGCATATGTTCGCGATAGGGTAGGTAAATAAATTTTTAATTTGGTTTCGTTAGTTGTGGTTAAGTATACCTACCGAGGACCTCCCGCGTTAAAAAAAGGAATGAGCCATAGCTAATACCTCCAGGGTGGTTTGGGAATGTAGCTTTAAATATAAGTGCTATTAGTTTGAATTTTGTTCACTTTTTAATAATACGTATAATTAAGAAATTTTATGATATGTACTTCTCTTATACTTTTTTAGATCACTATTAATACTCATCACACATATGCATACATTCATTCTACTTCATGATGTGTGATTCTACAAGTGATACAGATTTTAGCCCACCCTGATTATAAAGGGGAACCATCGAAGAGCTATTTCAGATCATGTTGGGAGTCCTTGCGACTCATCAACATCTCCTGCAATAGCGCTGCGGTAGAAACAACCGTATTATCGAACCGTATTATCGAACAGCTACGCAACGGACAGCGATTCTGACTCGCATTAGGGTATCTACTCTAGTTGAGAAAAACGGTCCTTTTAGGGCCAACAAAAATACTCTAAATAAAAAAAGGTCACTCGATAGGCTAAAAAGTATAATTTTGTGTCGACTTTAATTTTAAATTGGCCCCCACTCAACATTTAGCCACCATCCTGTTATTAAAAGAGTTCTTCCAACCTCACAGCCGCATTTTCCTTGAAGATCTCGCACTACTATGCATACATTAAGTGATGGTTGTTCTATTAGTAAGCGCCTTACTTGCAAGATTTGTGTCGATAAGGAGGTGCAAATGGTTTTTATACCATGTGGACATGCTGTATCTTGTGTTAGATGCAGTCGATCTGTAGTTTTTTGTATTATCTGCAGAGCACCGATTAATGCTAGAGTAAAATTGTTTCTGACATCCAACTATCCGGAACTAGATGCACTCTACTGAGCGTGATGTTATGCAGGGGAGGTTGTAAATTCGAGGGTTGGGAGAGTGGAGGTGGAAATACATAACCATATATAAGGAGGTCTCGACCACTTACCAGCATCAGTCATCCGATTAAAGCTGACCATCACCCTATTATAGCTGAACATCACCGAGAAATGGATAACGCAGTAAACGCCGCATTTGTGTCTGAGGTCGAGCGCCACCTGGCTTTGATAGCGCGTTTCGACGAAAATAAGCCGGGAATTGGTGAATTTTGGGACCAGATAGAGCATGAAGTAAGTTTTTTACCATGATCTTGTGCTTATAAAAGATCTAATCATTATACTTCAATACAGGTTGCCGCTGCTGCTGTCGGTGATGATGGAGATGGGGATGATGTAGAAGGTGCTGCTGGCCCAGCACCACCAGCCGGTGAGGCTATGATGGGTGCAGTTGGTCCAGCCCCGGCCGCCGATGAACCCGCCAGCGATGATGAGGATGAGGGCATTGAGGCTGATGCTCCCGGATCCCCGACTTCTACAAAAAGGGAGTTGGCTGTATTTCGGGTTAGAGGTGGAAATCACTTATGCGTGACAACCAGCTCCGTTATTGTGAAGTTGGTAATACCCAACATGGAGCGGAGCAAACGTCTGTGCAACCCCTGCTTCCTTTATTACGAGTAGATGGATGTGGATAGAAATCCAAATGCGAGGTACACACACGAATATCAACATTTTGTTGTGGAAGGGGGAAATTTGGGGGACCCGCCAACATGCGATGTTTGTCATAATTTTCTTTCTCACTTCTGTGATACCAATGTGTGCCCTGTGTGTACCGGCGCTTGATACGAAGGAGTCAGGGGTTGTAATACGGTGGCTTCGTCATGCCTCAATGACCCTATATGTATATACATTATATTTTAGAGTTAATATAATTGTTTTTAATTTAAGTTTTATTTATACATCTAAGTTTAAGTTCATACATATTGTTTTTTTATTTACCTTGTGTTTTAGATTTAATTTGTATAGCTAATATAATTGTTTTTATTTATATATCTAAGTTTGAGTATTTTTTATCTGTATATACGTAAATAAGAAAATAAAACTTTTTTTAAATCTTTATTTCATTTAATATCCATACTAAACAATATCGCTTATATTAATCCAAGAGTTTTCTTTTTGTGGGAATCCCAGCCACTTCACCAAAGCTTTACTCCCCTTTGTCCGAATGATCTTTTCCACTAAATAAACATCTTTCCATTTTGTTTTTAACAATTCCAACTCATAATATGAGCCTTTAATTGGCTGACCATTCATATCTTCTATAATGTATGTTACGGGGTATGTGCTATTTATTTTTCTTATTTTGAATAATTCAGTTGTATAGTTAGCAGTATACCCTTTTTCAAATATGCTTTTATATTTACTTATTCTTACGACATCACCGACATGATATTTCGGTTTTTACGCCTTATTTCGCTTTTCTTTTGCCTATATTGGTTGAGTTTAGTTGTTGGCAGAACATTTATTGGCTTCATACCTATGATTGAATGTGTGGTGTTATTATACTTATTAATAACATCGTTTAGAATATCTATCCATCTGTATTTCCCTCTCATTGAATTTTTTTTAAATAATATGGATTTTATTGTACGAATTACACGTTCTGCCATAGCTGCTTTCATTGTACTATAAGTAGAATAGTGATTAATATGGTATGTTCTCATTACTTTCGCAAAGTCCTTGTTATAATATTC